ACGAGTGTAATGGTGACTAAAGGGTTTTTTTCATGTCCTCTATGCTCTAACTACGAAAATATTTGATTTACAAATAAGGAATCCTACTTTGCGGAATTTCATTTATCACAGTAGGGTCTAGAACCGATTAACCGCGATAAACGAGGGCTCACTGTACTGCACACTGAGCACATCATTTGAGAAGCTGGGCTCTATGAGGAAGAATGCAGTGTCACGATGAGAGGCACTGACACTAACCACCTTTGATACGCAGATGACACCACCTTACTTGCTGATGACGATCAGGGACTGCAACTTTCAGCTCAATGTCAAGGCAAACCCAATCCTCACAACCAGACCAATAGGCAGCATCATGATAATGATGACAGAAGTTGTCAAGAATTTCACCTTGCTGGATTCACCAGGAATGCTTATGGAGGGAGCAGACACGAAATTGAAGGGCATATTGCAATGGTAAATCTTCTGCACAAGACCTCTTTAAAGTGTTGAAGAGCCAGAACTAAGGAGTGCCTGACCTAAGCCGTAGTATTTTCAATCGACCGTATACATGTGAATGTTTGGCAATAAATAAGAAAGACCAAAGAAGAATCAATGCATTTGAATTATGGTGCTTGTGAAGAATATCGGGAATACCATGGACTCCCAGGAAAACAAATCTAACTTGGAAGAAACAACTAGAATGCTCCTTAGAAGTAAGGATGGTAAGCATTTATCTCATGTACGTTGGACTTGTCATTAGGAGAGACCAGTCCCTGGAAAAGGACATCTTGCTTGGTTAAGTATAAGCTCAAAGAAAAAGAGGAAGACCCTCAATGACACGGATTGACACAGTGGCTCCAACAGTAGACGCAAAGGTAACAATTGTGAGGATGGCGCAGGACTGACAGTGTTTTGCTCTACTGTACATAGGGTCACTGTAAGTTTGAACTGACTCAAGAGTAGCTAACAGCAACAACAAAAGCCATAAACCACTGCCAACCCATAGGGGACTCTACAAGGCAAAATAAAACTACTCCTTAGGGTTTTCAATACAGCCAATATGTCTTTACGGGAGCACACAGCTTCACATTTCTTCCATGGAGCGGT